ACCTATCACATTTTTTTTCTTTTAGTTTGTAAGGAACTTTTACCTCCGGTAAGGAGCCGTCAGTAATTACTATACTTGTTCTTCCACTTCACTTCAGCCATTCAGCCGGCCTGTCTCGCAGCCATTTCAGCCATATTGGTCCAGCCAGTGGCTGACCTCGCTCCAAGCAAGACAGTAACAGTGTGCGTAGAGTGGTAATCTGACGCATGTGGATGTTATCAATTGAACAATATCATACTTTAGATTGATGATTCTTTTAAAAACATTTTAAAAGTAATATCTACTATCCAGTGACCTTGTTGATCGAATTTTTAAGACAAGTTCCTTTGTTTGAGGACTGATTACAGTCAGCTGTTGTCTCTGCAGACTGCATCGAGATTCGTTGTGTTGTCGCTGCGCAGGAATTTTGTACCTCTTTTAGAAAGTAGTGTCAATAATGTGATTGAAACTGATGCAAGTGCCATGAAATCTCTGGGCTCTGGAGACATACTGCTAAATTTTATCGTGAATATATATTCTTGTCGTTTTGTTAATTTGCGAGCTTTATATGCTGTGTGCTGCGTCACTACGACACTACCTAGAACTTTAAAGTAAAACTCGAATGGCTTTGCGGCCCTACCGATTTGCAGGCTAAATAATAATATTGACTTGACTATATTGACAGTATTGAGACTTGAGTATTATGTCTCAATCTCATCATTCTATTCATATATACAAATAAAAGACACCGAGACCATGGTCCATGTTTGAATAATACTCTATCATGCATTAGTCTTAGACTTGTTGAAATGGGAATATACATATTATAATTACTTTATTAGGTAGTTTCAAATTCTTAAAAAACTTTCTGCTCTTTCTTCTGTGTCATGAAGAGGAAGAGTTTGCATTTGTCAACATATGATAGAAATAAAAGTTTTCATATTAAATGAAATTAATTGACAATTAATAAAATAATGGAACATAAACACTTACAATAAATGGCATGCACAAGCACAATTTTTTCAGATTACTTCAGAACATAAATTTTCACATCTCAAATGGAAGAATGACTTCATGTTAATTAAATTTAAAGGCAGCTGAAGGATTAGGAAAAAGTTGAAGGATTAGGCCTATATAATAATAAGATCAATATTCCTGAAAAAGATTTTTATTTTCTTAAATCAATGATAAAAAAGTTTCCAGCTCACTGAATGCAAGTTGCTGCCATGGAATATGAACAAATTAAATAATTTTATGAGTAAAATTCTATAATAATGAACTTACCACTTTTTAGTTTTTCTTGGGCTTAAATTTTTTACTGCCCTTACAGGACAAAATAATCTTCATATACTACCCAGTGCCATGACAGTTATTTTCAATTGACGGCAGTATGTTCAGATTGCGGAATCTAGAACAAGTGGTCTACCATAAAATGGGGTAACTTTGACCACTTTTTTTTGTCAAAATGATGCCATTTTTTTACTAGATAAGTTAAACTTAAATTGAAATGTTCAAAATACAGGTCTATACTCTAGCTTCACTCACCATAAATTGCTGGCTCCTGCCTCTCATAGTTTTGATGTAATTTCAAAAAAAAAAGTGATGGTCTTTGTTACCCCAGCTCTTGGGGTTTCTTTGACCGGGTGGTAAAATCAATTTTATTTTTTGGGAAAATAACTCCAGGTTTTGGTGCATTGTAGTAGAACTCTTCTAGTTACATATGCAAATGACAAATTTGTAGGAAGTGTCATAGTTTGCAAATTGGGGGTACCGACAGGCTTTAAATAATAGCTCTTTTTTGTGGGTCACATTATTAATTTTTTAACCTATTAGATATGCAAACTTTTTAAATCTTTCTATTGTGTCACGTAGCCTCAGTATTAGGCCTTTGATGGCCATTGACAAAAATTTTCCATGTTAAATAGTTTTTGAGTTTTGGGGGTTTTTGTTAAAAAACGAAAAGTGGTCAAAGTTACCCCAGCGGTCAAAGTAACCCCATTTTACGGTACTCTAATAACTTATTCAATAACAGTGCATATGTTACATGAAACTCCTGAACCTGGATGCAAGCATGGAAAACTTCTACCATTAGGGCCGTAACTAGAGCTTTCCCGCCATTTCCAGAACTGTGCAATTTCTGCCAGATGAATTAACTCCTATCTAATTGTTAACTAAAGTGCAGGATCAGGCCATGACTCACTAGATTCCAAATGTATTGAAAATTTGTCTACCTAGTTGGAGCCACCAGATTTCAGAAACAAGTAGGAAAATTCCAATCACAAGTAGTAAAATTCCAAAATAAGTTGTAAAAAGGTAGCTGCATCCAGGCTAGATGCAGCTACCTTTTATAACTTGCCTGATATTTTTGAAATCATCAAGTGACCAGCCAAGTCAATTAAAGTCTATAAACCATTCTGCATTCATAGGATGCAGTTTTAATATTCAATCTGCCAAGTTACTGTTACTCTATTTCTGTCACTATCAAAAGAATTGAAAATATCATACCACGGAATTTGACCCGAACATTAATTTAAATGCAAAATAATTTTAAATATTTCTCTTACCAAAATATCGATTTTACTTGTATAAATAAATTTATAAAATTCAACAACTATAAAAGCATAAATAAAAGTACAGCCACACATAAATACACACATAAAAACATATATAGAACCCTTATGTAGGCTAGATTGGAAGTTTCCTACTTAAGAATAAACTTACATGGCTCCAAAGTGACAAATTTTTAGTACATTTATAATCTTGTCCCCCAATTGTGCAGTTTCATTAACAATTATTAGATAGGAGATAATTCATCTGGTGGCAATCTCATAGCTCTGAAAATGGCTTGGAAGCTTTTGTTGCATCTTGAAAGTTAGATATTTTCCATGCCAGTATGAAGACAAGAAAAGAATTATGCAGAAATGTTAATTTCTGAAATCTGCACAAGAACATAGGTATAAACAATTATAAGATATATTTACTTGTATAAATTTTCAAAAATTTTTAATATTGAAGGGTTTATTAGCTGTTGAATAATTTAATAAATATTATCATTACTTTGAAAGAATTTAATATAATTCAAATTAAAATATTCAAAGGTAAAGAGAAACTATTATCAATTTAATCTAATTTCATCAAGTTATAATAATTAATTGAAGAAATATTGCAACTTCCATTATTGAAAAAATATATCTAAGTACTCACTGCAGTGAGTGATAGAGCGTGCATTTTCTTGTTAATGAAAATGTGAAGTCACGGACGGACAGATAGACAGACAGATGGAGGGACATGACAAGCACAATAGCGCCTTTTTTCCATAAATGAGAAAATGCGCTAAAAACTGTAGAAAGTGCTTCAATTTCATAGTTTGAGTCAAAAATTTAATTTAAATGCTCATATTTTAATTTTCTAGCTTAGCAGAGCTGGTGCTATGTATGAAACAATGATTAGATGATTGGTTATTGGCAGTGGCATGTTAAGATAATCTCAAACACAAACATGGGGCCATGGAGAGGTCTAATTGGAATTATCCACTAAATGTTAATATTCTCCCCTGAAAAGCAGTTTAGTAAACTCATGGCTGCTTATGTGTCATGGATAAAAATAGAATTCACATTTGGTTAGCCTGAGCTTTCCAATTCTTGAATTAATAATTCTTGGAGAAAGGTTGAAGATTTTTTGGATTTTGCATGGTCTGAATTTTTTATATTTTTCATCTTATCACTTCAAACTACATATGTTCCTGGAGGGCCAATTTTACATGTAAAACAATTGTGTAACAGTTATTGCATGTATACAATAAATCAGATGCATCTTAAACAACTATTGTTTGGTAAATTACAACTATTATACCTATATTATAATGATTTTTGCAAAGATGCTATGCATCACAAGCACAGGCATGAATAACAGGTTACAAAAAATTCATTTTAATGACATGAAAGTGCATCAATGTGTAACAAGTTACTTATGTAGACAATGGAACTAATCTGAAACTATGAATCTGCTTGTTTTTCCATGCTATTATTTATACAAGTACTGTTTTCATTCAATTTTACATCAAGCACCTTGCACCTGCCACTATTGCAAAGACAAGTTCCATACATCTGACCATTGACCAACAATTTAATTTTATTTTCAGCCGGTGCCCGGTGAACATGTGATGAAAATATTTTTATTTTTTTACAGGATATGCACTGGGATGACTGTCCATAAACTGGGATGACTGTCCATAAACTGGGATGACTGTCCATAAACTGGGATGACTGTCCATAAACTGGGATGACTGTCCATCAACTGGGATGACTGTTCATCAACTGGGATGACTGCCATCAACTGGGATGACTGTCCATCAACTGGGATGACTGTCCATCAACTGGGATGACTGTCCATCAACTGGGATGACTGCCCATCAACTGGGATGACTGTCCATCAACTGGGATGACTGCCCATCGACTATGATGACTGTCCATCAACTGGGATGACTGTCCATCAACTGGGATGACTGTCCATCAACTGGGATGACTCCTATCAACTGGGATGACTGCCCATCAACTGGGATGACTGTCCATCAACTGGGATGACTGCCCATCAATAGGGATGACTGCCCATCGACTGGGATGACTGCCCATCAACTGGGATGACTGTCCATCAACTGGGATGACTGCCCATCAATAGGGATGACTGCCCATCAAATCATTCCATTTGTTGTTTATTTTATGTACAATGGCTAGTAGGCTTTACTTTTTATCCAAATTGCTGGTGTTTTGTGGTAGAAATAAAAAAAATGTGTGGTGTTTTGCTTTATCAATTGCACTTTGTGTTCTAAATCTCTAGCTACTGTCCTATTACTTGGAATGTCCCTTAGATGTCTGCTAATTGATGAGTGTGATGGGTCAGCCTCTTGCATGTATATATTTACAATTGACTCAGGTGGCAAATGAACCTGACAAACTAAATTCAAACTGATGGTAACAATTGAACTATCTCACTTATATAATTTATTCTTATTTCCAGACGAGTTCTTACCTATTTAATTTTTAACTTGAATTAGAAAGCAAACAATTTTTTGACAAGGTTGTATTAGCACCTCCGTTACTTGAGAGCACCTCTCCAGGAGTGAAGGTTGTAGGAGGTGCTGTCCTGACCTAAACACCGCAAAGATGTGTCTGGTGACAGGCTGTCCAGACAACAGCATTAGGTCACAGCGACGCATACGTCGCCTGTGTTTCAAACATGATCTTCAGCCCCCGCAAGATGCCGCTCAACAGCCATACGGCGACGGCAAGAAGCCTCAGTGTGATGAAACATGTCCCTCTATATCCCTGGGGCGCGTCACAAGCGATTTTGATGATTTCGGAACTTCTGGCTCGCCTCCTTGTTTCGTTCCACTCCCCGAATCACCTGCGCCTGAAGAGGAAGAGTTTGCACCTGCCAAACGAACGCCTCCTGTCAAAAACAACTCTAAACCTGCGAAAAAAACATCAAAAGAGTGAGTGTCCGTGTTTGTTCATTCGTTGTTATGCATTCTTCTCGGGTCCTATTTGTGTGACTGTGATTGAGCGTTCGAGATTGTAGTCTGAATTTAAACTTCGGATCTCTCATAAATGTCACGAGATTCACGTAATTTGTTCCAGTTTTGTATTTATTTTATTTGCAAGTAACAGAAAACTGCAGAGCGTATATTCTACATTTAACTGGCTGAGATAATCGTACGAATTATTTTGTTGGAGAAGATTAAGTTCAAGTTTTATCTTGCACAGCACATGCTAAATTGATGTTTCATGAGAACTATAGGGTACTACTAGGCACATGACATTATCTGCAGTTGAGACATCGTAAGCCTCGTCTAGAAAGCTTAAATGTAATTTCTCGACATTTTTGTCCAAAAATGTTCCAAAACGTGTTTTTACTTTTCTCTTGACTCTTATTGAGTGCTACTGCCTGTCTATGACGCATGTCGGCATGTGAGATGTGTTTCGAATTTGTCCAGATTCCAGAATGCTCTCTCGTGTTCCGTACTGTCGACTTATTGTCCCTGTGTTCGAATATCCTAACTTCTCCCTTCTTTCTGCTCAAATTTTAATAAGACGAGACCATTTGATGGAGTAGAATATTTAATTACAGTTAAAGCATATAAGCCACTGCCCGGCGCAGCCTGTGAGCTCTAAATTCTATAGCCAGTTCATATAGCAATTGTCAGAGATCTCAGTGTAAAATATCTGCTGTTGGGAATTTGTTTCAAACTATTTAAACCGTTCCCTCTTTTGAACCAATAAATCATTTCATTTCCCTCTTCAGCGTCTCACGTTCGTCTTCAAGATTGTTTCGAAATGTATGTGTGCTTTATTTAAAGTTTAAACACACATACTCCTCTAAAACAATGATGATGCTAACATGTTATCCAAGGATAGTATATTTTTTTACTTGCATGATCATTGGGGCCTTCTCCCCCACGAAATTCGCACTCATTATGTTTGAACTAACCGTTCAATGCCCGTTATTAAACCTGCTATCTACGATACCTCCGATGTTCAAAGTGCATTGAGGCCGAGTTCTTCACCTGCGTTGCACGCAAGTCTATAGGTGTTACCGCACTTTTTGTTTAGGAGGACACAGAAAAAGTTGCTTCTTGAACTCACAACGTATTGGGAAAAGCTCTTTAATTTACACTTTTCCTGCTGCACAATTTCCAATTTTTGTGCAAAAATATTATAAAATGAAATTATTTCTTGTTTAGAATAATTAAATATTTATGTAAGAATGATTTAAACGTTCGTGATAAGAAGTTTTCTTGAAGTGGAAGCTGCACGTGGCAAGGTCGAATATGGACTCTATAACCCCCTTGACAACAGCCCAGATACCGGCCACTTAGATGGCACTTCATTGTACGGATCAGTGACCTCCGTAGCGACGTTTTTGATGCTCAGAATATTTTTAATAGGATTTATCAAACGCCATTATTGGTACGTATTATGAATTATGGTATCGAGGAGCATCACTTCAACTTGAACGATACTACGGTGTTGTCGAACTGTCTAGGTTTTCTTATTCTGCTATAATTTCCTTCAGGAATCTTATGAGAACATTACAGCCTCATTTAGGTCATCCAGCGAGTTTTTCTGGGGTGGGCAAATTACTAGCTATAGTTCATCAGAATGCAACGTTGGTTTATGACTTGGTTTGGTGCTTTTCGCAGCTGCGCACCTCGAGCCTCTGGAATTATAGCGAGACCCGGGATGAGGTCTCGCGCTTTTTATCGGTTGCGATTTTTGTTCATGGTGAATTTGATGGATCGATACAAGTCTATTTTCTGAAATTTATTCGGCAGCTCCACGAAGTGTAACTCGTAATAATCAGCTCCTTGTTACTACGCAAGAGATTTCGAGAAAGCACAAATGCAGTAACTGAATTAATAATAATCCTCCCGTTGCCCAAAATCGACTAGTCAGAGCAGCGTGAGGTGATGTCGAGTCTTAACGTCACGAAAATTCACAATTTATTATATCCTTGAATTTCAATCTGGAATCTTAATCGTTTTCCCATTTCCCCTAGAAGTTTAAGTGCATGTTGTGTGTAATTTTTTTAACTTACTGTGGTTGGAGGTGATCCATTTTGGCACTCGACATGCTTTTGCTAAGCGACGTCTTGGCGTATTAACGCGAGTCGGTATCAGCCAATCTCTGAATTCATCATTTGAATATAAAATACTGAGGGCATTTAATATTGTCATGAATATAACCGTGAGATATCCTAGTTCTCTAAAGCTCTACGAACTGTAGCCGCTAATGAAACGCAACGATATTGGTTTGGCGGAAAAATTGTTTTCTGGAATATCTTGCAGTTTGGCTTGAGCTTAATCGCAGCAAATTAGATAAAGTTATTGCCACAACTTTTATGGTATTGGATCGTTATGATTTACATTATGAATATATTATTAACGGAACTGTATTAAAATTCCCTATAGATTGAAAGGAACATGGTTCTGGAATGTATCAAGCTTATGAAAAGTTTTTACTGCAGTATCGGAAGCTACATCACTTAACTGGAGCTTATCAAGCCTCTGAGACTGGAACGAGCTGTAAACGTTCAGTTAGCGGCTGCTGTTGAGTGCGACGGTAGCAATAGTACAGGAGCGAACGCCTCCTCCAGACCCTCGTTAAAATCCAGCATAGTGACGATCCCTTGCCTGTGAGAGGCGACGACGTCTCCCAAATTGGGCATTAACCTTCATCAATATGCACGTGGTGGATTCTGCTCTGCATGAGACGGCATTACTCCAAAACCTTGAAGATTCCTGCCTATATTTAACTTTTTTTTTTACTTTGAGCCTTGGCAAAATAGACTTTTTCAGTGCGTTGCTCAATGAAATGTTTCGTCATTGCTTCTAGTCCCTGGGTTAGTCAAAAGGCGAAATATATATATATAGCTCCCTAGGTCAGTCATCTCTCTTTCTCTAGTTTTACCTCTGATTCTGATATATAAAACTCATGCAATTATACAACAGTTGTCTTGAAGCGTGTATCAACTTATCATGGCTCATACTGATAAGGGACATCAGTCATATGTTAATTTTACGCGAGTTATTCAATTTTTCCCTGCCTTCATGGTAAAGTTCAGCTACTTCGTGAATATTTCGTCCTAATCGCCTTGAGGTGTAAGATGCGTGCTACAATCTCGTATGTAGGGATTTGTAATTCCTTAAATAATAGCTTTAATAATATTTTCTTTTCTTCTCTTGATTGCTCCATGATTATATCACTATGTATTACAGTGCTAATTGTTTACCTTCAAACTTAATGTGTAAACAAACGTCCGATTGAGTGTTTAACCTGCCCCACATGCCTGGCAACGGCCTTATCGCGCTGCCGCTCAACCTAAAATTATATGCAGGCTGACAGATTTTTACAGTTTGAGAGAATTAGCTTATCTGATTGGCATGATCTGATGATTGGTATGATTATCAATCAATAGAGCTGCTGTGTTGTTCCGAAACGAGTGCTAAATGTTTTTCTAGGAAGAATATAGCTGTAAAATTTGATCCTAACTTTTCATTGATGCTATTTTAAGTAATGGATATTTTGTACAAGTGTATACCATGTTGAAGTAATTAGCTTCATTAAATCATGTATTTCATTCACACTCATTTGATGAGCAGGAAAGCCAACAAAGAAAAAAATTGAACTATATTCTCATGGTATTTATTTTATATTTATTTATATTTATTCCTTATTCATCGTTACCTCATTTACTTCATTTATTAATACCTTATTCTTATTATTTACCTTATTTATACCTTATTTATCGTTACTAACGTGTAGTTAATATGGTTTTTATAACTTAAAGTTTTGAATATCAATGCGTAACTAGCAGTATAAATTCACCTCTATTATAAATTCAGAATAATTCTGGAATTCGTCTAGTGAGTTAACATGTTATACAATAACTGAAAATAATACAATTGTATTATTTAATTTATTTATTTTATTTAATACAATTTGGCTATTGTGAGTTAACGTGTTATTTTATTGTGAGCAGAAGCAGCGAGAAGCGCAAGGAGAAGTCCCGTGAAGCAGCGCGATGCCGGCGCAGCAAAGAGAGCGAGCTGTACAGCGCCCTGAGCGACTGTCTGCCCCTGCCGCGAGACCTGCTGGAGAACCTCGACAAGGCCTCCATCATGAGACTGGCCATAGCCTGCCTACATACTGGCGACATGATCGATACTAGTGAGTAGCTGGTGCATGCTGGTACTAGTGAGTAGCTGGTGCTGGGTGCTAGTGAGTAGCTGGTGCTGGTACTAGTGAGTAGCTGGTGCTGGTACTAGTGAGTAGCTGGTGATGGGTACTAGTGAGTAGCTGGTGATGGGTACTAGTGAGTAGCTGGTGATGGGTACTAGTGAGTAGCTGGTGCACTAGTGGGTAGCTGGTGATGTGTACTAGTGAGTAGCTGGTGCACTAGTGAGTAGCTGTTGCTGGTACTAGTGAGTAGCTGGTGCACTAGTGAGTAGCTGGTGCTGGTACTAGTGAGGAGCTGGTGCTGGTACTAGTGAGTAGCTGGTGCACTAGTGAGTAGCTGGTGCTGGTACTGGTGAGTAGCTGGTGCTGGTACTAGTGAGTAGCTGGTGCTGGTACTAGTGAGTAGCTGGTGCTAGTGTGTGTTGCTGGATACTAGTGAGTAGCTGGTGCTAGTGTGTGTTGCTGGATACTAGTGAGTAGCTGGTGCTGGATACTAGTGAGTAGCTGGTGCTGGATACTAGTGAGTAGCTGGTGCTGGTACTAGTGAGTAGCTGGTGCTGGTACTGGTGAGTAGCTGGTGCTGGTAATACTAGTGAGTAGCTGGTGCTGGTACTAGTGAGTAGCTGGTGCTGGTACTAGTGTGTGGTGCTTGATAAATAAAATTATTTTTAGTGCGGTGTGGTGCTGGTTGCATGCAGCACGCAAACCTAATTGCAATCACTTCAGAAATAATGCATGATTCAGCGCGCGCAGTTTAGTTAAACATTAAACTCAGGAAAAACTATTTTATTGTTGATGCAACAATATTTTGGAACGGGCATTTTGACAGGATCATAGAGACGTAATTTGTTAAAGAATCACTGTTGGGATCTGACGGAAAGCGCTGAACATTGAACGATAAACACAAGCAGTTTGTTCATTAAGGGCGTTAAGGGTTAAGGGTTTAAGGTTAATTAAGGGTTAAATAATTAATGGTTAATTTGGCGTACATCGTGGCCTGGGACTGCTAACATCTAAAACATATACTAAGCATGGTAAGGCCGTACGTGGTAACGTTAAACTCGCTGTCGTAACTTGAGTGCGTGTAAGAGGTGCTACGCCACTCAACAACTTGCTTGTTTATTATTGCGTATTATTTATTGTAATTAATTTTATTGTATAGACTTATCAATCACATTAGTCTAGACTTTAATTAACGATTTACTAACTTTAAAAACAGGAATTAAAAAAATGGGATCGCTTTGAGATAGATTATCATTCTGCAGTACAAAACGCTGGCCGAGCTGCTTTAGTATGATGCATGCCTTCCGATCACGTTACCGTGCTCTCACATGCACAATACGTTTGATTACAATTATTTTTATTATTACAATTACTCCATAACAATTATTACATGCAGGTAAACCCGTTACATGTCTGCTGCGAGTGTAACTTGTTATGGCATAGCCATGAGTTTTATCTCTCAGACGGTTATTTTGCATGTCATTGAGAGTACAATACTTTAATACATCATTTAGGTGAAGAGTTTGATGTTAAGTTGCTGATTAAATAAATTGAACTGGTTGATGTTCACTGCTCATTGTATGCTCCTGATTCATCTCACTACAATTTTATAAGTAATTTTGGCCTATTTTGATTCATTAGGTATCCACGCGGGAGCTGAAGTTGTATATCGTGCAGTGTTTTATGCTATACAAAAACGCTTGTCCATGAATGTGCTGAATTATCGAACCCAGTGATGTAGTTGCAGCTCTATCACTATCACTTTTGATATTTCAATGTGATATTTCACTTTTGATATTTCAATATTTCAATGCCTTTGATATTTCTAAGCTTGATATCATGTGCTTCTCAAGGTGATGATTAAAATTCTACCACAGGCCTGGCGCTGAGCAGCCATGCAGCCAACAGTGACACGAGCAGCCTGCCGTGGGACGCTGGCCTGCAGGAGGTCTGCGAAGGCCAGTTCCAGGAGTCGCTGCTGCAGGCCGTCGATGGCTTCGTGCTCGGCCTGTCCTGCGTGGGCGACGTCGCGTACGTCTCCTCCAGCATCGCTCGCTACCTCGGCCTGGCGCAGGTAACCTCAACGGCTATCTGTCTAATAGATATACTACTATCCAATCTAGATCCAAGTACACGTAGGGGTCTAAGCAAACGTAGCGGCCTAGGTACACGTAGCGGCCTAAGTACACTTGGCGGCCTTAGTACACTTAGCGGCCTAAGAACGCGTGGCGGCTAAAGTACTCGTAGCGACCAGAGTGCACGTAACGCCCGATTTCTTGTCTCATTGGTGGGTTAGTACGAAGCCGTCAGTGAAAGGCTGACGAAGGACTCGTACCTATAATAATTAATGCCCAGACTACAGGCTCGCAACCTCGCGTGTCAGGCATATTTTCTTGGGGACTCCAGCAAGACATTGTTCAAATGTTCTTAAGATCACGCATTTGGCGAGAATAAACAGCTTCATAGATACTGCGCTAAGTTGTATTTAAACTTCATATTTCCCTTTAATTTCCTATAACCCTTCGAAAAATCTGATGACTACATTTTTTTTATCCCCGTATTCGTTCCTTTTAGTCACGTTATAACTTTTTTCCTATCAAACACTTATTTAATTTAATTTAATTTAATTATTAATTAAGTACTGGCATTTTCTTTGTGTTTCACACGCTATTGTTGTGTGAGCAGGTTGACGTGATGGGCGTATCGCTGTACGACATCGTGCACCAGTGCGACCACGAAGACCTGCGCCAGCTCCTGGCCATCCCCACCCCCAGCAAGGACGAGGCTAGACTCGCGCCCCTGGATGGCAGAGACCCCAAAGACGAGCACCTTTGGGAGCCCCGACATGGCTTCCTCAGGATGAAGTGCACCCTGGCGAGCAAAGGCCGTAATGTCACCATCAGGAACGCCTCGTACAAGGTGCGCTCTCCACAAGCTTGACTTGCGACTGATTTACAGGAGCTGGGGCCGTGCTAGTGATACTCGCTCAAGTGAACGTAGCGGCCGCATTCTCGTCTGGGATTGGTGGATTCAGCTTTGAAAGCCGTCAGTGATTGGCTGAAGGTGTTAACGAACTCTTGATTATTTTGATGGTTCGGCTCCTGGTTATCTGGCTATTTATATTGGACAGTTAGTGGCATGTTTCAGNGACTAGCCCGCCGCAGCGACGTGTCGCCGCTTGGGTGGCTGATGTGTGTGGCGGCGCCCGTGCCACATCCCGCCAACATCGAAGTGCCGCTGGACCGCACAACATTCTTCAGTAAACACACACTCGATATGAAGTTCCAGTACGCCGACGAGAAGTGAGTTGTTCTTTCTTCTGACCATGATTAGGAGTTTAATTATACTTTTTTTTAAGTATAAGTATTAATATATATTTTCTGTGTGAGGAACGTAAGATTATTATTAGCGAAATGCCATGTACACCATAACTACGACCGAACATTTTCAACAAGAATAAAGAAAGCGACGTAGCTGCTGCGATGTTGCAACGTCGCCACGTGTTGTTCATGTGAATTTAATAATCAACATATCAGAGTAAGTTATCAATCATCATATACCTACGTAATTTATTCTGAAGCTTACAAATTGCTGTAGTGTTGGCGTTTGCTATGACGGATTGGTTTCCACTGTCCTGACCACAGAAATATAAAGACCAATTGAAAATAGGCAAGTAGCAACAATTTATCAGAGAATCTTGAATTTCTTTATTTTGTTCAACCGTGGGACATAAATTCCGCAAATTCTAACAAATGGTTTATGACATATCTCATCGTTTACATAATTATGCCTTCTAAGCAACATGTATACCTATTAGGAATCTATCACATTTTGTAATTCTTGAATAAATCCGGCCGGTGCGTTACATGTCAATGGTTTGCCCCAGGCTTTAATTTCCATCGGTGAATTGCCAATTAACTTCACAAACGCATAAATTCAAACAACCACACACTAATGATAAAAACCACACACTCAGTACTCACTGCAGTGAGTGACAGAGAGCGCATTTTCTCGTCGACGAAAACGTGAAGTCACGGACAGACAGACGGACATGACGAGCACAATAGCGTTTTTTTTTCATAGATGAGAAGATGCGCTAAAAAGTGAGCCTAGGAGTTTTTTTTAAGGCCTCCCACACTCACCATTCCAACAAAAAGGATTTATTAATTTTATTCATTAAAAACATGGAATGGTTTCATCTCAATGATCAGGGCCCCGACCTTAACGCCTCTGATGGTGGCCTACGCCTAGAAGTATAGCGTTACTCATAACAGCATTAAATAGCGTGATGTGCTTGGGAGCTGTTATACACAATACTGTACGTGCGCCCTGAAGAAAAATACACTATACACAATACTGCGTATAACAGTACGAGCACCCTGACGAAAACTACACGTCGAACGCGTATGGGACTTGATATTCAGTCCTGCTGGAAGCTGACTCTAAATAAACAAATAATTCACGCTAGTCACAAGAATACCAAATAAGTTATGAAGCAGAATATCAGCGTGTTCATTGTAGAATATTGTTTTACTGCGCAGCTTCCCTCAGTTGAAGGGTTCTCGCCTTGCCAGTTGGACTTGATATTCAGTGCCGCTGAAAGCTGACTTTAAATAAATCAATAATTTACGCTAGCCACAACAAATCAAGTAAGTTATGAAGGAGAATATCAGCGCGTTCATTGTAGAATATTGTACCAGGAATTTAAAAGTAAAGAAAATAGCCAAAAAGTTCACCATTTCTTATTCGCTTATAAGAAATGGCGAACTTTCTGGCTATTTTCTTTACTTTTAAATTCCTGGTAAATTTGCGACTTAAGCAGCCAAGTGATTTTAATACTTAGAATATTGTATTCCTGCGCAGCTTCCCTCAGTTCTGCGGGTTCTCGCCTTGCCAGTTGGAAGGACAGTCGCTGTTCCAGCTGCACCACGAGATGGACGGCCCTCTGCTGCGCCAGGCCTTCAACACCCGTGAGTTCCTCAGGCATCCTCAGTGTCTACCTTCCTTTTTTTCTTGATTATCTTTTCCCATCCTTTAATTTGAAGCTTTTTGTGTTAGCGTTCTTAATTTTAGTAAAATTTTTAGTGGTAATATTTTCCATGGATCTTGTTTCGCCTACATCTTCCTCGAAAAATACGACAGTTATCTGAATGTGATTGCGTTTGTAAAGCGTTTATTATAGAAACTATATACTATAGAGCTTCACTATACGGGGCTCGTTACACTTGGTCCGTCATGTGGTGTTGCGCGCTCGGCCATGGCAGCGTTCTTGCGACGCCCGCTAGCTATGTGGCATATTTCGTTGATGCAAAAAGTGAGCATTCAGTGTCAGAATTGTGCAGGAAGATTCAAGTCTCAGCATCGTGAAAGTGACGAACGAAATATTTTGAATATCCAACTGTGTAGACATATTCCGATGAACAAAAACTGAACGAACTATTGTAGCTTCCAATGCATCTAAATTGTTTATTGTTCTGTTATAAAATGTATTGTGCATCGCCATAAAATTGTTCGTTCGCCACTAGTTCGTTCAAACCAAGCCTGCCGAATATGAACTTGGTGTTGGTTACGCTTGTTCTCCTTCACGCGCCTCTCTAATCGTGGCACTTAATCCTACCGGTCTGCTCTTGATTCTGCAAGTGTGTTCCATCATCTGTTCCAGTATCTGTATCATGACTAACCGTTCTTATTGTGATGTTATGATTCGTGCTAGCTTGTTCCATCATGTGTTCATGACTAACCGTTCATAGTGTGATGTCATGATTCGTGCAAGTGTGGTCATCATCTGGCTCATGATATGAAATTTAAAAACAAAGAATATGGCACTGAAATTTACCGTATATTTACAATCGAAGACGTTTCGGAGTCTAGCTCCATCGTCCGTTCGACAACGTAAATGTCTGCCATCTTCTTCATTTTTAAATTCAGCGTTTATTTGCGTTGTACGTTCAGAACCGTTCATAGTTTTGAGTTCTGTTAATTGACAGAATTATAGGTGGCTGGCAAATCACATCATGGCGCGTGCCTTTTTCTGAACAAATTCAAGGAAGCAGATTTATCCATCGAAAGTCTTCTAATTTAATATTCTAACGAAAATTAATTGAACGACCAATATTAAAGAATACTATAGGTCCAACTGCCTACCGCTAATGTTGTCTCGAGTATCGTGTTACATTCATGACCTGCTGCTGTGCTTGATTACGCGACATTGTTTCTTCTCCATTTATCATATGAATATGATTTTTGTGGAATATTTACGTATATTACTGCCTTAAACTCTGGCACACTCCGCAACAACATAACACTGCTTAAACGCTGCTCACATTTTCATTTTACTTCATCTCAGTTTTCTGGCAATGGTTCTCATGGAAGTGTCGTTTCTATGGTAAGTTTGTATTCGCTGGACTCGCCTGCTTTAAGCTTACAAACAATTTAACTTTCATTTGTCATGTGAATTTAGGCTCTATAATGCGTTTTTTTTGCGCTCTCAACGCATATTCGTTCATTAAGTACAGCATGTGATGTGTCCACCATTACGTACAGCATGTGATGATGTGTCCATCATTACGTACAGCATGTGATGATGTGTCCATCATTACGTACTACAGCTTGTGACGATGGTGTCCATCATTACGTACAGCATGTGATGATGGTGTCGTTCATTACGTACAGCATGTGATGATGGTGTCCATCATTACGTACAGCATATGATGGTGTCTATCGTAACGTCCATTTCTCTGGCTCCGAGTTTCTTTTGTTGCAAGTCAATATTTGACGCTCACGTCGCTCTTCGCTCCGATAAAGTTAGTTGTCAATTGCTGTGATGATGATATGAATCCATAACAAAGGTGAAGTCGTGTTCGTCACACGCGATTATGATTATTTTCAGATAGTCTCATACCAGAATATAGATAGATGTCTTTATAGAGAGAAATACTAGGGAAGAAATAAAGGATTCTAATCCACCGCTGGCACCTCCCTCCCCAATAAGCCAGGACGAGTTTAGTTGTGCAGGTGCTGTTGCCGCGAGAGGTTGCGTCACCTCGAGTTCCCACGCGTGCCCATACTACTGCTCTATCTTACCTCTTGAAAAAGTGTCCCAAGAGTTCAATTATGTCCCTGTTAATGCCCTGAAGCCAGGTTAGTATTGTGAGCTGGTTTTTAGCTCAGGTTAGAACAAATAGCCTTCATTGTCTGAGGGTTAGGATTGTCGTTTCCTCGGCAACCGTTGTACCCGCGCCCCCGCCGCCGTTCGCTCCATGGGCTGATTGACGCTGCCTCTCTATTTCTTTAATTGCTGCCAGTGTTTGGTGCCGCGGAGTTTATTGTCAGAATTACAATTTGTTTCCACGAACATACGATGTATGAAGTTATTTGCATCTCTTCGTTATCAATAATTATGGTCTCATCTGTATTTTAATTCTAGTAGGTACCCATGCACTGTGCCCACCGGCCTCCGCAATACTGTGAAACAAATTCTTGCTTCTTCAAAGATTGATGTTTTTTACCGTCTATTAGAGATTTTCTTACTAAGTATGCATTTCTATATACGAGGCGACGAAAATTGATTGAATGCTACTATAACACATTTTTAATTAATGGGCAATGGCGGTCGCCGACAAAACTTGCTGTATTTTGTGACGCTTCTATGCGAAGAAAAGGCATGACTCAGTCATGAGTGAGAATGACACCTCATACTAAATAAAATGTTATGTGGATCACCGACGACTTTGGTCGCAATAAGCGCGCGCTATCTCGACAACTTAGACAAGTCTCATGATCTCATCCTAGAGATATTATCGCTGCAGCTCCGACGACGTGTCCCGTAGCTCAATATCCCCCTAGCCTAGGTAACACGTTCACTAAATTCGTCCGTGGACACCAGTACCAAGTCGACAGAAATGCGTGACTCCTAACGAAAAATCATGAAATTAAATACATACTTTCTAATGCCCATTGCAGTGTGACGAGGATGCTTTTCATAGTTTTACTTTATCTCTTTGTAATTAAAACGGCAAAAGTCCGTTCAACAGAGACAAGAAAATGCGCTCATCTTTTAAGTTAGGTTGGGTTCCACCCATTCTACCGTTCAATTCGAAAGCGGAAGGAAGAAAAAATATGAAAAATAAACTTGCCACAACGCAATTGGTATTAGGAAGTGTGTTTATTTTCATGATTATTGGTTACGAATCGAATGTGGCATGCCTAAGTGGTTGAATTTAGCGATTAGACTTGAGCACAGGCGTAGCACCAGGGTAGCCCATGCAGTTAGTAGTCCTGGCTAACGCACTACTGTTCCTCCGGTGACACCAACTAAAGGCCATGCTGGAAGAACCAACTTGAGAGTTGTGACGGCGACGAAGCGACGCCAATAAATGAACTAGACGCTATGTTTTGCACAACCTTTTGTCTGCAAAGTTCAACACGTTGCAGATAAAACGTTGAGTGTAAACTGGAAAACAGTATGGTTGTGAGTCCGTCGGGTAGAGAGCACAGTTGCAGCGATGAATAAACTACAACAGAGCATATATTTCTTTACACTGTTCCGAAAAGTCGACACATGTGGACGGCAGCACCGTTTTCCGATTAATTTTGTTCCGTATTTTAGATTCATTGTCATGTGACAATGGCTGAATTATGGCAATGTGTTTGGGAGTTTCTCACATAATTTGTTGCATTATATGAAAGTTTCCTATGCATTTGGCGTGTTGAATGCATGTAGTAGAGCGACAGGGATAAAGAAAAATAGGTTGCCTTCGAGAGTTGAGTGGACAAATGCAAAGAGATTGATGCAATTTCATATAAAATACCTGAAATCAATTTCTATGACAGTATTTTATGTGTCCACTAATCCCATTTCCCGTAGTTCATGAGATGAATGAGATTATTTTTGACTTCTCTTGTTTTTTGGTTGATTACATTCATTATGTATGAATACACGCCTCAAAATCACAATGAGCTACAAATCGGCAATTTTCAGTGTTTATTCTCAATACAGACTCAGCGGTCAGAGTAGGTTTCGTGCAAGTCCTGCTTTCACTTATCAGGCACGTGGCAGGAATACGACCTGCTCCTAAATCCTTCGCTCATTGTTAGTTTGATTGTTCAATGATGCTTCAAATTCAATTCCTATGTATTTAATTAACCGCTCACATGGCAGCCTTTGATGTGGTCGGGATGCTAGTCATTTATTTCCTTAAAAAATTTTCCGTTCGATGCCGTGGTGTTCAGGGCCCATACTTTCAAATAAAGTTAAGAGATCGTAAGTTCATCAGCCAATCACTAACGGTCTTTCAAGCAAAATCCACCAATCATAGTCAAGAAAATAGAGCGTAAGTACTTACGTTCACATAGCCAGTTTTAAGTATGGCCCCAGGCGAAGGGGGAATAATTCCTTACAGAGGGGTAGCGTTTACGCGTGTTTCTCAACATTGTTCCTGAGGACGAATACTTCCCTCAACGAATTTGACGTCGAGATAGAAATTTTTTACTGGTCTCCATATATATGAGTTGACTTGTCATCATTTGCTCGAATTTTTTTAATGAAGACTCAAACTCATTCCCGAAACAGACTTCTCCCAAAACCAAACTCCTGGCGATGTCTAAAACGGGCGTAACACGTTGATTTTTTTAGCGTTTTATTTATACGGTACATTTGATTACTACGAGAAATTTGCGCAAGAAAGTGAAATACTCGCATTCCCTTGAAAAAAAATACGAAAGTAAAGTCAGTTTCTGTGAGTATTAAAGCATGTTGTTGAAAGATGGCGCTCAGGCATGCCAATTGCACAATCTTCTCACTGCGCACGTCTACTTTTGCTTTACAGTCGTTTTTTTTTTCGATTTCGTTTTTTCGTCGTCGATTTGTTTTTTAAAGGTTGTCGCGGAGCACTTTTATTAAATAATTTAATTAAAGAGCTCGCCGATGTACATGAATCGCGTGTGACGCTCGTTCAGTCAAGATGAGTCTAATCGTGAACATGTTCCCTCAC